ATGGGGTGCGATGCGAATTCAATCGGATTTCAATGGGTTCTCAATGAGATTTCAATGTGACATAATGTGATTTCAATGGGTTTCAATGTGATTTCATGGGGGTTCAATTGGATTTCAATGTGATTTAATAGGGTTGAGGGTCGTCACTCATCACCGACAGGCTAGTTAGTGACTAGTGAGTTGTAACCATAACCAAAGAAAGAACGGGTCCTTGGGAACCGCTGTCAACCCACGAGTATGAAGAGAATGCCGGAGGGTGTGGACTGAGGCGTTGGTATCAGTCTGGACACATCTGGACACCAGCCTTATGGGCGTCTTAGCTGCCCTTGGACTTGGTTGTGGTGGTGGCTTGTGATGGCCTCTAGGGGTGCTCCAGGGTTCGTTTTTTTCCAGACCTGTGATGACCTTGTTCCCTTTGATCCGGCCTTCAAAGCCGCGGCCAGGAATGGGGCCCTAAATAGGGGCCCCGTGCCATGGCTTCATCATGGCCACAGCCGCTTCTGCCCGGCTGAGGATCATAACTGGTCCTGACCAGAACCATTTGGCCCACGCCACCGTCTACATGCGCCTGCAGGGAGTGGATGCCAAATGGCAATTCTTTGGGCAGGACTGGCAGGGACTTCAGCAGGGTCAGGTACTCAGGAAGAGGTTAAACAGTTAAAACACAGCTATGCATGGAAGAACCCTATATGGGGATAACCCATGATAAGCCTACCGAAAAACAGCGGTTATAATATAACATAATATAACCCCAACTATACAGTCTATACACTTACAAATCTTTTGATACTCATTGATACTCATTGATGCTCAAAGTTACCAACCACATCGGCGATGCAGAGCAGAAGTTGACCCGCAGAAACTCAGGATTTCACAGCATCAGCTTGAGCAGCCGGCTCAATCCGAAAATCAATCTTGATTCTAATTTCCCCCGTCAAGGCCTTTTGCTCACCATGGGCCAAAATCAGATTCTCAAAGATTTGGATGTTTAACACATGTTGCCACCAAAACTTATGACATCTTATGACCACTCCTGGGGTTTGGCCTTAAGAATTGATATCTGTGACCTATAGCGGTGACTGTAAGAACCAGGATGCTTCCTCCCTCTGCGACAACATGACCAACCTCACTGACACTGACCTTTGGGCCAAGTTGCAGGCATCACAGCTGCGATATGAACAAACCCCAGGGCCATCCAGGGCCCCATTGAGGCTCACACATGTTTTCTCCAAGATGTTTATTTTGCATTGTTTTACTGTATTTTGGTTGCTAGATGTTATTAGCATTGATATGGCATCCATGTGTTTTCAAAGTAAAGTGTTCTTGGGGAAAACATATACAGTATCAACTTTTTTGGTGGGGCGCGCGCACACGCACACACACACACATATATATATATAAGTATACAACCTCCGATGTTTGGAGAAGGGCCGAAGGAAGAGCCAGGGTTCAACCAAACAGCACTGCAGGCCTGGGACAAGGAGGGCTACAGCATTGCGTGCGGAAGCCGTGGCAACTATCAGGGCATCATTGCAGGCGAGACGTGGTGGGGCAACACGTGCCATCAATGTAGTGCTGCCCCCACAGTTAGTTCATGTTGGTTTTAGGACTTCAGTAGCTAGAGATTATACTGTAGATACATAATCTTTGCCAACAGGGATTGTAAACAGACTGCCAGCTGATTGTCGAAGTATGGAAAGTTTGTGCCCAATTTATATAATGCTATGCCATTGTTGACATGGCAGACACGTCAGCCAAAGACTGGTGGCGTTTGGTCAGGTCATGCCTACACCATTTTGCGCCTCCTTGATGTGCCAATCACAAGAAATGGCAAGAGCATTACCCTGCAGTTGATGCACGTGCGCAATCCTCACGCGACCAATGAAACTCGAAAAACGCGTGGGATGTGCAATTGGATTTCGGGGGCTGGAATGGACTGGATATTGATTTCTATTTTTTTTCTTTGGTAAAGTGAAGTAGTCAGTATGACTGCAATACCATCCGCGCGCTCCCTTGAAGACTTGAAGGGTCTGGGTTGTCAGCGTGACATGTTGACTCCACGTTGGCTCAGGAATGGAAGGGCAAGTGGCACGATGATGATAAAGAGAAACTTGGAAGAACTTGGAACGGTTATTGATGGTGATATGGTGCCAGGTCAATGCAGTTGGGCTTCAAAAACTAACAGATTCATTCGCATTCCACAGGTTTCTGAGGATGAATATCTTATTAGATTTCATAATCTTTCATTATCTTTCACCATATTTCACTATATTTCATTATATCTCATTACCATCTGGTTATGACTAACAGTTCGCCATGGAAAATCCACCCATTTTTTTTTGCAGAACGGTAAACCTAGTAGTAAACCATCTATTTCGATTAGGGCCATTGACAACCCATGGCGAACTGTTACCCTTTGGTAAATTAACATAGACCCTGCCAGATAGGGGTTGGAAGACTAGTTTCCACTATAAATTGGTCATGTTCAGGGTCTATGTTAATATACAAGAGGGTAATGGGATATTTCACTAGTAAACATAACAGATACAGTATCATGTGGGTAAAACAATTATAAACCATCCATTTGGGAATGGTTTATAGCACCTATACTGGATTTGCTGATGCCCATTGGTTAATCCACCATGTGGGGGACTGCCACGGGCTGCCATCCATGGCCATTGAGGACCTGGAACGCCTATCCAGAGGCGATCATTTTTTCGTCGTGGAAAATACGATGGGCAGAGCAATGTGAAGTGCTACTACCTGTGACAACATATCCACATAACATAAGAATATTATCATTATTGTACAATGTGGTACCCCCCCAGTTATAAGTTAGTTTATAACCCCATCAACTATAGATATATCTACCATAAGTCCTACTTATTGTAGTTATAAACCAACTTACCTGTCTATGGGGCACCACTATGTACCATCTGGTTATTTAACATAGCCATGGAAAATCTGGAAAATCCATGATAAATGGAGGTTTTAATGGGAACATCATCTATAAATGGGCCATTTTCCATGGCTATGTTAAATAACCGGAGGGTATATGTATATTGTTACTATTGACATTATTGTTGTTACTATAATTATTATTATATTCTATCTAAAAAACTGTCTTCTTATCATTAATCTTGTGCATATTAAATGTGCGCCCTTATGCATGGACGCATGTTATGTACGCACACACGCACACACACACACATCTCTCTCTATATATATTATATATATATACATACATACACATATTTATATATATGGCTATATATATGTATACATATATATATATTATATAAGCATATAGTTATATAATTATATATATATATATATGTATGTATGTACAAATATATATATATATATGCACACATGGCGTGAAATATAGGTGAGGAGGAAAATCCGATTGCATTCTGGTTGATGTTCGGAGCGGCATGCTATGCGTGGGCCAACCAGAAATTTTCCAGGTTTACACCTCTGGTGGGCTACCCTCTGGTAATTTAACTATAGCCATGAACATGGCCCATTGATAGTTGATTTACCGATTAAAAATGGGTGATTTTCATTGATTTTCCATAGTTTTTTGTATGTGTTCCAGAGGCTAGTAGAGAGTAGAGATGGCCACAGTGTTTAACATTTGCAGGCGCTGAAAGCAACTGGCCACAAGATCGGGGTGAAGGACAATGGCGTCTTCTGGATGGAATTTCAGGACCCTGAGCGCCTTCTAAGACCCGGCTGGAGAAGTGGATGGGGTACCATGTTTGGCTGGTGGTTTTGAATTGTCTATGGTCATCTACAGTCTATAGTCTATAGTCATCTATGGTCATCTATAGTCATCTATAGCCATCTATATTCCCAGTCCCTATTTGCGACCATGATCCAAGATGACTTCAATTCATCTCAAAACCAGTCCCACAACTTTTGGCCATGTGCAGGACTACAAGCACGGCTTTGCGGAGGTTGCAGTTTGCTTCGACAAGCAGAACAAGGGAAGGTCGGGTGGGTAGCTTCAACCGACTGGTGTGGTGGATAATCACCGACTGGTCATTTCACAATAGCTATGGAACAATCACCATGTCGGAGAGGTAAATCATGGAACATGGAACAAAATGGGCAATATTCACCCCGCTTCGCGTGGGGTGGCCGCCCACACCGCAGGTTTATTTCGGTCCGTGAGAGGGGCTAAGGGTGGTTTTCCCCCGTGGGGCCAAGCTAAGAATTTTCACTTTCCCCCCCTGGTGGGGGCTCCCCAAGCTAGGGAATTTTTACTTTTCTCCCCCGTGGGGGCTTTTTAAGCTAGGGAATTTTCACTTTTCCCCCCCGTGGGGGCTCCCCAAGCTAGGGAATTTTCACTTTTCCCCCCCGTGGGGGCTCCCCAAGCTGGGGAATTTTCACTTTTCCCCCCCGTGGGGGCTCCCCAAGCTAGGGAATTTTCACTTTTCCCCCCCGTGGGGGCTCCCCAAGCTAGGGAATTTTCACTTTTCCCCCCCGTGGGGGCTCCCCAAGCTATGGAATTTTCACTTTTCCCTCCCTTGGAGGCTCTCCAAGCTGCGGAATTTCAAATAGCTAGACAACGACGCCTAGATAGTCCCCCAAATCCCGTGTTCTTTGAATGTGTTTCCATGTTTTTGCAATGGTTTCCTTCAAAGCACGGTACTTTACACTTTTGTCGCCATAAAACCGGTCGAAAACATCATGTTCGACAATGCTTCCTACTGTTGTAGGTTCCCAGATCCTTGATCTTCTCAAACCCCACCACCAAGAAATCGCACCTGCTTGTTGGTCTTTTTCAGGTCGCTATAGCTGCATGTCGGCAGCGGTTGGGCTTGAATCAAAAGCAGCTTCGGTGACAGCCGCAAATGAAAACAGCTGAGTCTGAATTGACATGGAAAATGGGGGTTGGAATGCATGTTATGTACTCTGAACACAGCACTCCCCCTTTGAAGTAGCCGTTAGGCACTTCAACCAAAATACATTCGGCCCAGCTCAAGCTGCTATATTCAAGTACCTTCAAGGCATGCAGTGCAGAGTGCAAAAGTGGAAGCTCTTTCAGCTTCTTCACATGTCACATCAGTATGAAAATCGATCTCTCGGCCGCTGATCAGCACTGCAAATCCATGCCCAGGAATTCTTCCAGTCTGGGCTGCTTCGGCTCGACACTTGGTGCACCATCGATGGAGTCGCGCATGTCCAGTCATTGGCGCAGTGAGATACCGGCAGTCCAACCGATTGTGATACACGGTTCCATGCCGCGTAGTGATCACTTCGAAGGGCAGGAGTGGTAGCGCTGGTTCAGCTTGTGGAGGATTCATAGGTCCCAAAATGGGATGTCCCGGCTGAGCATTGGTGAGCTCATCACGAACTCGATCTTCTTCTCTGAGAATTTGATTCCACTCAGCCTCGTAGTTAACCATCGTCGCATCATGTTGGCGAAGCATCTCGAGAGCAGCGGCTCGTTCTTCTTGACTTTGAAAAAGTGCCGATGTCTCATGCCCAGGAATCGTTCCAGTCTGGGCATCGCGATCGTTAAACCCAGGAAATGTTCCAGTCTGGGTCATTCGTGAGTCGGATCCAGGAATTATTCCAGTCTGGATCACCTCGGACTCAGGCCCAGGAAATATTCCAGTCTGGGCCACGTTCGCAATATACCCAGGAAGAATTCCAGTCTGGGTAGCTTCTGATTGTAAAACCACGTTGATCGCCTGTTCTGGTCGCGGAGCTTCTGATGTTGAGGGCGGATCTTCAGGAATTGGAAGCGGAGCTTGAGGTGGTACTTGATCACCATCATTTGAGTCGGTGGACCGGCTTTCATTTGATGCCGGGAGCGATTCAGATTGATCTCCTTCGGGGATCTCTTCCTCCTTTCGCACAGCGTTCATGGAGAGTCTTCCAAGGTTGGCCAAAACATACTGTCGTACGACGATGACCCCTCGTACTGCTGCATTCCAGATTCGCTGCGCCACCAACGTCAAAATGATGATTCCCAAGGTGTAGGCAATGATGACCTCAAAAGGATAGGTCTCTTCGTGCTCCTTCTCCCCCTCTTCCGCTTTGACTGCAGCAATTGACGCTGCAAGAGTGATCAGCCTCAAAACTTGGGCTGCTTCCGCGACTTTGGTCTTTTCCTTGGTGGTCAAAAGACCGTCCTGCTTTTCTCCTTCTTTCTTTTCTTCAACTTCCATACTTTTCACTTCATCTTTGATTACCAGTTTTCCCATCCCCATCAACTTTTTGAGGAACTCAAGTCGTGCCGCTGTGAGTGGCTTGGTGCCGATGTCGGCAATCATGAACTCACCAGCCACATGCTGAATGACCCATTCACCCGCAAGGATCGACTGCCTTGCGAAGGAGCACCTCAGCCTCAAATGGCGGGTTCGCCAGTTACCACCATCGTTGGACAAGATGGCAAGTGCTGACTGGCTGTCAGTTTTGAGAAGCTTGTGGACCACAGGGAAGAGCTCTGCCAGGATCACGTAGATCGATTCACCAGCTATCATGCCCTCCACGATCTCAGTGAGCTCTGCTTCAGCAGTTGAGAGCGTGATGTAGCTCTGGCGGCCCGATCTCCAGAAAATTGGAGTTGTGCCCAGCAAGACCACAAATGATCCATGGCTCTCCTGTGCATCCGGCGCAAAACCTGCATCAGTGTACACCGTCAAAACGGGGCTTTCACCTTCTTTCACATTGAACATCAACCCTTCATCTGAAGTGGCCATCAGGTAGCCTTTGAGCTGGAGTGCGGCTGCCAAAACGGCATGTGGTGCCCTCGTGGATGATGAGCCCATGCGGCTTACAGCGTACATGATGTCTGGCCGTGCCCGGGTTGTCAGCCACAAGACTTCGCCAACAGCTTTTTGGCAGGAGCGGATCAGCTCAGGTGTGATCTCAGCCTCATTTGGTTCCATGGCTGATTGATCTCTGGTCAAAGGGATCCGTTTTGGCTTGACTTCAGGATCCTTTTGTGTGAGGTCTTTGGTGTAGGACTGCTGCGTCACCATCCAAACATCTCTTTGAAACTCCTCTTTCCATTCTTTTGAGATCTCCATTCCCAGAAATCTGACAGGTTCCGGGCCGACAAACTCTGGTGTTGAAGTGGTCCATGTCGATTGGATCTTGGCCTGCATGGCTTGGAGTAAGTTTGGAGATGATGCCAGCATCAGGTCATCCACGTACGTCATCAAAAGACCATACAGAGTGGTGTCTTCTGGTTCAAGGGCATTTCGCAGTTTCCACAAGTTGGGTTCGGACTGCAAAGGCTCCAGCATGAACTCCATGTGCTTTCCATTGTGCTCCCCCTGGATTGAGAAGTCAGAGATGGTCTCATCCCTGGTGAGGCCCCACAGTCTTGGAGACCGTCGCAACCCATAGATCGCTTTTTCAGGCAGGTAGTAGACATCTCTTCTCAGGTACTTCTTCTCGACCAGGAGAGCAGGAGGTTTGATCAGGATTGGATCCTCATCATCGGCCAATACCATCTTGGCGTTGAGGAAGGCTGTGCGCACATCGAGAGTTGAGGCAACCCATGGGTAAAGTGCGCAGCACCAACATAGAATGCGCAGGGCGGAGGCATCTGCACCTGAACTGAAGTTATCCTCCTGTTCTTTCTTCGGTTCCAAGTTGCCACAAACAACCCACCTCATCTTTTTCTTTCCTCCTTCTGGCCCTGGCTTTCTGGTAAAGACCAGCTTGGATGGGATGAACTCAATCCCCTTTCCTGACCTTTCAGCCTCCTTTGCATCTTGTGGAGTTCCTCTGGATAGATTTCTCTGAAGGCCTCCTTTTCTTTGAGCAAGGAGTCAACCTCATTGGTGATGGCCGGGAGCCAATCGCTCCAGTTTTCGGCCACTTCACGTGGTGACACAATTCGTGTCTGCAAGACCTCTTCTTCTTCATTTGTCTCAGCTGCCATCTTCCTCATGTTGGCCAAAATGGCCATCTCATCCATCACTGTTTCAGGATCATCATTGATCATCATTTTCATCTCATCTTCGATGACCCTTATGTAGTTGATCCTCCTTTTCTTTTGATCTTCTCTTTCTTTCTCTTCGACATCATCTTCTTCGATCTTTCTGATCGCTGATTTTCCTCGAAGTCTTCGGCGGACCAAGAGGGCATCCACGGTGTCCTTTTCCAAGGCGAGCCATTGGTGCTCAGAGACGGGGTCTTTGGCCTTCTTCATGACATACCTCGTCACTCGTGGCGGCTCATCCTTCGGAAGGATCCAGTGGCCATGTTCTTCTGTTGCTGGAAAAAGGTATTGAACCGTTTCCGTCGTGGGCTCAAAAACACCCTTTCTCCATGTTCTTCTCCTCACCAAAACCTCTTGCAAAAAAGGTGGAAACTTCGGCTCTTCTCCAATCCTCCAGCTTCTGTTCAGGGCATCAGCATATCGAGCTGCAAGGGGCCAGAGTTCACTGCCAACGTCAGCAGCTTTCAGCAATCGCCTCACCTGAGTCTTGAGGGTCTTGATGGCTACTTCAACTCGGCCATTTGCTCTGGGATCATCGCCCGAGGTGCGAGACAAAGCTATGCCCCGCGAGTTGGCCCATTTTTTGAACTGGCCGGCAAACTCCCTTCCCCTGTCGCTATGGATGCGACCGATGTGGAAACCATCCATGCGAAGCCTGAGGAGCATGTCCATTGTGGTTCTTGTCACCTCCCTTGCTGTCTTGGTGATCATCGGAGAGGCCAGGCGGAAGATCTTGGTGTCAAAGCCACCTGGTTGAAGTTCTTTTTCTCCATCTTTCGGTTGTGAAGGTGGTAGCAGATATGGCGGCACTGGATGAGGTTTTTGAGAGAGCTCATCCTCTTTCTTTTCCCCATCTTCTTCACCCCAAACTTCTACCTTTCCTCCTTCTTCTTCTTCAGCCTCACTTCGTTCTTCTCTTTTATCTTCTAGGGCTTGGGCCCCTTCTTTTCCTTCTTCTTCTTCAGGGTGAACCTCAAAGTGAGGTTCATCTCCGTCAGCTTGTGGAACATGAGCATCTTGGAGCTTGTTTGACCCGGCTGGCACGGCCCATGTCAGAGTTCCAACCAGCATCCATCGAGCTCGCAAGCCACCCAAGTCCTTGGCAGGAATCAAAGGACCTGCAACATCCAGCGAGAGAACTCCTCCGACTGGATATGGTACTTTTCGATGTGGGTGTTGTTGTTGCATGGTTTGTTGGCAAACCAGGCAGTCTCGCCGATATGGCGTATGGCCATGTGCTATGTGCTCATCCCAGCTGAGAGGGCACATCTTCAGAGGCTGGCACTTCACCTGCAGCATCAAGGACTCGGCCACCATGTTCATTGTGCCCGGAGCCCATCTTGAGAGCTGAGCAGAAGACCTGATGTCCACAGAGGTTGGCCTTCTCATTCGATGGCTGTCGATGTTGAGGTGCATGTTGCCGCCCATTGTTGTTGGTTTCAAGGCCGCTCCTCCATGGTGTCCTTGACAAAACGTGGTCTCCTCAAAGTTGAACTCATCTCGCAAGAGCTTCCATTCGTTGGTGTCCCAAAACGACACACATTGAGGCATGTACTCCTTGGGCGTTGCAGGCTGTTCCAAGAGGAATCCAATTGGTCGTTGAACTTGTTTGGCTTCTCTGATGTATGTGGCCACCATCCAAAGAAAGATGAACCTCCACATCAAGATGTCGTCCTCCAACACCTGCAAGCGCTCTTGTTCAGAGAGATCTTTGAGGCCAAATTCTTCACCTCCCCACGCCCTGACTGGTCGCGGAGCATTTTCTTTTGGGTAGTGCCTCAAAACTGACCTTGTTCTGCAGTTGGGTCCAGCGATGAAGGCCTCGACCTTATCGCTCATCACAGCGCACAGCAAACCGCTGTAAACTCCAGAGTCCATGAGGAGATTGTGATTCTCCCCACGTTTGATGTCCACCTCGAGGATGTCAGCTGGATTCCCACCCTGTTGCTGGTAGGCTCTTGTCAATGTGAACCCTTCAGACTCCCCTGCATAGAGATGAGCAATGAAGCCATCCAGTTGAAGTCTTCGTCGTTGACGTCGGTTGACAGGGAGATCACGCCAGGATCCAACATCCACCACCAAGCTTTTCTTGATTTCCGCTGGTAGTTGTCGAAGGACAGGGTGAGCTTCGACCAGAGCTTGCATCCAAATCTTTTCCTTCTCAAACTTCTTTTCTTCAGGCTTGGACTGGAGTGCTTTCGTCTCCAGCTCATCTATGAGTTCAAGAGCAAGAGCTCTTGGGATTTGAGGGCACCCCTCTTGAGGTTGTACTGGTAGAAGTCCACGATCAGGATGATGGATTTGAAGTGTTCCTTGGTTCCAATCAACCCTGCATCCAAGCTTTTGCACCAGCATACCCATGGGGATGATAGGCTCGACATCTTTGCGCTCGGAGACCATCACACCACCTGGAGTAACTTGAAGGGCAGTGCTCTCACCGTTGGCAAGGGTCACAGAGACCTTCTTGTAGTCGTTCTTGGATTCACCCAGACGCATCGGACGCAATGGGTGTGTGGCACCTGAGTCAACCAATCCCTGTTGGCTGCCGTAGTTGATCTGGTTGATCTTGAGGCCTTTGAGCTTCATTCGATCCAGTTGTTGTTGAAGACGATCCATCATCTCCTCTTTTGATTCCCCACCAGATTGGCTTTGGGAGAAGTCGCACTGGAAGTGGTCAAGGACTTCAACATAGTGTTGGCCTGTTCCAGCAGTTCTTTCATGGTTGGACCTTCAGTCCCTTCATCTTCCTTCAACTTTGAGCTTGTTGACGAAGTGTCCTCCCCCTCAACCTTCTGAACCTTTGGCTTCTGCGGTGAGGACTCTCCTCTTTCTTTCGGTCTTGGGCACGCAGGAGACATGTGTTCTGGACTCCCGCAATTCCAACATCTTCTCTTTTCATCTTTTTGGTCATGAGACCATTGACAAGCCTTTCCCCTTCTGCATCCTTGATCAGAAAGGTAGAACTTGCACTTTCCTCTTGTCTCTCCTTCTTCGCTTCTCTTTGTGGGGGACCTTGCATCCTCCTCCAACTTTCGAAGCTTCGCAGCCTTCGGCTTTTCGACTTCATTCTGTTTGGCTTTTGTGGCATCCTGCTTGGATGTAGTTGCATTTCCCCCAGGGCGCTTTTCAGAGATCGAGAGCTGCTCATATTCAGCAAGGAGGTGGTATGCGAACTGCTCCACATTGGTGTCGTTGGGAACCGTGTCCACTTGTAAACCACTCCTCACAAGGCTCACACGAAACTGAAGTTCTCGGTGCGCTTCAAGGGTCTTCTTTGACATCTTTAAGAGTCCTCGAAGTTGAAGACTCGGATCAGGAGCTACCGCCCCGATATCTTTAGCTCGGTGTCGCCAGCGGAGCCATCGTCGTAGAGCTGCTGGACCATCTTGAATAGTTTGAATCTCCGGAGGGTCTTCAAGGTTCCGGAGCAAGTTCTGTTTCTCAGAGATTCCGCCAGGGCTGTATGTCACCAGCAAGTGCGTGATGACACCAAAGGTGGTGAGCCTTCTAGCAGCCACCAATTCACCACGAACTTCTTGTGGAAGGGCTTGAAGAAGCATAGTCGCAACCCTTCTTTCCAACCTTTCCCATTTTTGTTGAAGCACTTCTTCAGGTGTCTCAACCTTGTGTTGAATCCTGTCCAGAGGAGACAGGGCCATGTGCACCTTGTACCAGGCTGTCTCAACCTTGTGTTGAATCCTGTCCAGAGGAGACAGGGCCATGTGCACCTTGTACCAGGCTTCAGCTGCTGACACCGATGTCTTCCACCACACGCTCGCAGATGTTGAGAGGTCTGAGATGATGGGCTCGATGATCAACAGCCAGTCTCCAAGGATCAAGGGTCCTTGTTGAGGCTCCCACGGAGCCAGCAAGGGGAGATCTGGAGCTCCAGACCTCACCGTTTCAACTCCTTTGATCACGCCTTCGTCCTTTGGCTCGTTGAGGCGCTTGTGCATCTCCTTCATGGAGTCCATCATGAGTGCCATGAACTCCAAAGATCGCTCAGTGAAAGTGGTATTGGCTCCACTTCCATCATCCTTGGGTCTTTGACTTTGGGGGTCTGCAGCCTCCTTTGGTTGAGAGCTCCTCGAATCTTCGGCTTCATGCTTTGGGGGTCTCACAGCCTCCTCAGCTTTGAAACTTCGTGGATCCTGAGCTTCGGTCTTTGGTGGTCTCACAGCCTCCTTAAAGTGGGGGTCTGCAGCCTCCTTTGAGGGTGAGCCTGCAACCTCCTTTGAGTGGGGGTCTACAGCCTCCTTTGAGGGTGAGCCTGCAACCTCCTTTGAGTGGGGGTCTACAGCCTCCTTTGAGGGTGAGCCTGCAACCTCCTTTGAGTGGGGGTCTGCAGCCTCCTTTTTGGGTTCTTCCGGGGTGGAAAACTTCTGATCATCATCTACTCGCATGCTTTCCAACGTTTCGATTCTAGCCCTCAATTTTTGATTTTCTTCCATGATTCTTTCCAATTCCCTTCTAAGTTCAGCATGTTCAGAGGGACCAGGTTGAGGCATGTATGGAAACAGGTATGAAGCTTGATCCCCAACCATCCCAACTCCATGGACTCTACGCTCATCTTGCTCCAAAAACAAGGGTCTTGCTATCGGTTGTGGCACCATTGCGGGTGGTCCCAACAGCTGATTCCCTGGATAGAGCCAAGGTGCTTGGTTGTAGATTTCCTGGAATCTTCGAATCTGGCTTTCATCAAAAAGGGGAACTGAAGAAACATTGGATTGGGCAGCAGGTGTGGCTTCCACAGAAACAACTTGATGCGCTCGCCCAGAATCATTTTCCGCATACTGAGGTCCATTTGACATGCCTTGCACGTTCGATACCACCATTGCCGCAGAGGTCTCAGGAGTCTTGACAACTTCGGTGGATGCCAAAACAACCGCTTGATTTGAACCTGGGGCAGACTGAGGGTTCTGCTGCAGTTCGGAACGTTCTGATGGCGATACCTGAGTTTTCCTTGGTGTGGCAGGAACTGACTTCGCTGAACCTGACGACTTCGCAGCTGACTCCTGTGATGCCTTTTCTGCACCAGGAGGAAAGAAAGATTTCGGGGCACTTTTTGGCTTCTCCTCACTTCCCAGACTTTTATCCTTTGGATTTCCGGGGGACTCAAAAACCTCTGCCTCAGACCTTTCTTTGTTTTCTAACTGCGGCTCAGCTCCACTGGCCAGCTCTGCCTCCATACGTTGGTTGGCTCGTCGGATTTCATCTTCTCCTTGAGCTAGTTCTTCTGGTGTAGCCCGTCTTCGCTGCATCAGCATCTGGAGCAACTGTGGCACGTTGGGCTCATAACCTACTGTTGTAGGTTCCCAGATCCTTGATCTTCTCAAACCCCACCACCAAGAAATCGCACCTGCTTGTTGGTCTTTTTCAGGTCGCTATAGCTGCATGTCGGCAGCGGTTGGGCTTGAATCAAAAGCAGCTTCGGTGACAGCCGCAAATGAAAACAGCTGAGTCTGAATTGACATGGAAAATGGGGGTTGGAATGCATGTTATGTACTCTGAACACAGCACTTCCAATTCCCTTATCTCCCCAACCGTTGAAAATACCGCTATTTACAGTGTTTTCTTCAATTTTTCCATGTGCCAATGCCGGTAGCCAACTCCAACATATATATAAGAAATCCTTCCAAAACATTGTTTTTGACAGTATTTTTCCAATGTTTCCAGTCAAACAGACGGTAATTTACACGTTTTTTGCCATAACGTCAGTCCAAAACACTTGTTTTTGCAGTGTTTTCAATGCTCTGGCATCCAAAAACCCTGCAAAATCTTGCTATGTACAATGTTTTTTTCATTTTTGGCCGTTTTTCCATTGCCGGAAAGCTACCAAAATGACCCAAAATTCCATTTCAATACCCTCTTGCGCTCAGACCCCCAAAAATCCTCGAAAAATGTCGAAAACACCACCGTATTCTGGTCTCGGTGCGAAACCGTTTTTGCCCCCCCCCCCAGCTAAAGCTGATATAGCGACTGCTATATTAACAAATGTCATTGAGCATTTAGTGTTGCTGTTGCCCCCCAATAAGCACGCCTTCACCGCCAAAGCGGTGTGGGCGGATTTTCGATAGCAAAACCGATAAAACCGGAAGGCAAATAATTACCGTGAAATCCCATGAAAATCCAATGGTTGATGCTTAAATCCCACTAAAATCCACACAATCCCATGCGTCCTTTGGGAAGTTTGGGGCCTTTCGAGTTGTGCCAAAAGCGCTTCCTGCGTTCTCGGAAGCGGAGGCGCTATACGGACCAAAGCGCACAGGCGCAGGCAGATCACCAAAAGGTCGAGATGGGCCACTTGGATCCACTTGGTCCATTTATCGGGCCGCCATATTTCATCCCTGTATGGAAGTAGGGGTGTTCCACAATGTCCCAATATGTTCCACATATAATTAGAACTATTATGACTCGGGGTACAACGGTAAAAACATGTAAAAACCATTTAGTGCGATTCGTACCCCCATTCGTAGTTCGCCAAGTTGGTTTATAAGTCCAATAAAGTTTGGGTTGATTAGGGGGTTATATCATGTGATATACTGTATCTATAGTTCATGGGGATTATAGACCAACACACATAACTGGGGGGGTTTGATATCCATGACATGATTGATTACCATGGATGAATTACAAGGAACACATCTATAGATGGTGGTTTGATGATGTTTGATGTGGTTTGGTTTGTAGCTTGTAGAGGCTGGTTTTGACGAATTTAAGCCTTCCTGGCCTAGGACTAGGACTGATAAACCCCATCAAGTGGATACCAGCGAGCCGAGGAGCATGGGTATTTATATATATATATATATATTCCTATTTATAGCCAAGTATATAATTGGTATTGTTGGTCTATAATCCCCATGAACTATTTATATAACTATATAACATGATATAATCCCCTAATCAACCCAAACTTTATAGTAGCTGCTTGGGCTTGGGTAAGTGAAAGTAATGGGAAGCCGCGCATCTACTGAGACCATCGCCCAGATGATAGCCAGTTTTTTCGGAAAAAACTCGCAGCTTCATCTGTTCAAGCCTGTTCAACCAGCTAAGTCACATTTGAATTAACATAGACCCTGGCAGATAGAGGTTGGAAGATTAATTTCCATTAAAACTAGGCTATTTTCAGGGTCTATGTTAATTTACCAGAGGGTAAGTCACATTTCATGGGACAGGGAGGGGCCAAAAGAAAAAGCACCTGTGAGGCATAGATTTTGGGCAAATTTTGACACAAAAAAATGAGAATGGAACGAAGTTGACGACGTGTCAACTTAACAAACGACAATCCAGGGGACTTAATAAAACATCATAAAACATCATAAACATCATAAAACTTAATAAAACATCATAAACAAATCCGAAAAATGGTTCATGGGGATTTTCATGGATTGTCACCTTCCCATGGGGTCAATCCTTTCCCACTGAGGTCCTACGGGTCATCAAACCTGGGAGGGTCTTCGCTAGAGAAAAACACTGCCTTGGGAACGGCCGTGGCAGTGGCCGAACTTGCCTTAAAAATGAGGTTTGTCTGAAAATGGGGCAAAACATACTCCCAATAGATGACATATGGATATATAATATATACATATGGCCATTTGACTGGATTTTATGGATGAACATTTAGGACTAATATTGACCTTCAATGGCAAATCTGTGGTTGGGAACATGATGATAAAACCAGTGGATGGAATTGTGTGTTTGCCGAACACCCGGACAATTTTCAGACCAAACGATGCTGTTTGAAACCACAGATGGAACTGCGCACAGCAAGTGTTCGCACGATGCGAACGGGGGGCCCAGAGACAAAGGCTGGTGGCAGGTATCCTTCGTTTCATCCAACATGGTGGGTGGGAAATGCCGAACAATGGCTGGAGGTCTTAAGGGTAAAGTCATCTACACGGGGATTTTCCATGTGAAAAATTACCAAAGTGAACACTGTACTCATCCAACTCATGGCATTTTCCTGCGATTTCCAAAAATGAGATGAGATTGGATTATAGAGATGAGATGAGATCAGATCAGATAAGTAGATGGATGGATGGATAGATGGATGGACTGTACGACTACGTGATTATCTCCAACAAGCAGATGTTCATTCTAAACAACAAGTCACTGGGCTGCCTGGACTCTCTCAAAGGAGTTTCCGCACTGAAGCCGCAGTTCTGTCCAGACCTGACACGCACTACAGTTGGAAAAGTTGCTTTCTGAACAATGGTATCAGGAGCGCCACGTGAAGCCGCACGTCAGCGCGGAATGAAGAAAATCGTGACCCCTGGGTGGCCGTGGTTACTGAATTAGGTCGAGGTTTGCTTCTCACAAATTGAATAGTTGTAGCACCCTCCAGATGGATATGAGTCAAAAATTCGGGCTAGCCAGAGACGTTTGTCAATTGTTGTCTAAACAGCCCAATATTCCAATTTTGATCCATGACCCCATGACGACTCCCCAATTTTTCAAGTTTTGGAAAACCTCTCAGATGAATCCTAAAGTTACCCACAGACGCCGTGTGTTGCCCAGACATTAACATTGAGAATGTCGTGCTGTCGAATATATGATAGGAGAGATTGCAGAAAATACAGCATATGTTTTACAGTTTAGGATAGAGCCTAGGTTTTAGGGGCTCGGGTTTTAGGGTTTGGGGTTTTAGGGTTTAGTAGGATGGTTTAGGGTTTTAGGGTTTAGGGTTCGTCGTCTGGGAAATCTCAAAACACTGGCCGTGCGCAGGTGTTTGAGCATGTTGAAGGATAATGTTTAAACATGTTTAAACGCTATTTGAACCTTCCGGGCAACACACAGCGCCTGGCCGTAAAGTTAGGGGCAGGGTATGACCTTGGATTTACAGAATTGCCCAGCTTTCATCCACCAGGAAGAGTGCGATGTTCTGGTCCTTGTCCTGTCCAAGAACACAGAGCCCATAGCGTTGTCAGATTTTCGGGCCGTGATGCTTGCCACTTTGAGGCTGGCATCAGACATCAGCTGGCAGATTGCATGGCCCATCATGGCCCAATACTATATATATAACAACCGGCAAACATTGACGACAATTCATGTTGGCGGATAAAGAATTATGAACATCGTGAGCAGCATTTCCAGAAAATCGGGCCTTGAGAGATTCTGATAAAAAAGGAAGCGAAAATGAGCCAACATGGAGCCAAAAAGAACACAACATCCGCCCCCGCCCCCGGATGTCCGAAAATGGATCATCCCTGTCACCCGGCTTCGAAAAACCGGCGGCAGGTCACTGGCACCGAAGGATTGGGACACGGAGCATGAAGTGGCATGGAACTGGTTGTGGGAGAACGTGGAGCGCATTTTGAAGGACCTTGGGAATTTCCAAGTGTGAGGGCTCACAATGATGAGAGAGAAGTAATTCCATATAGAAAATCATAAGAATACGAAACCATGAAGGGGTTAAAGAGATTTGAAGGTCAGAGATGCAACCAAGGGCCAGCGACTTCCCTCTGCCAGGGCCAGTTGGGAAAGCCCAAGTCGTTGGAACGTGCGTTGACCCACTTCATAGCCAGTTGGTCTGAAGAACAGGCCATGTTCTTCCGCAAGGCCTGCGGGAAGCTGCCGATGGCGCGGGGTGTGGTGAGGGACTCGGGATTTTGAAGCTATCGAAAGCCAGCTATTTTAGATATCTTTAGATACCTCATTGAAAGAATTCCTCCCAAGGGGTTGGGTGATGTTGTTTCAAAACCACCATCCTTCGCGTCAGCTTTGGTGATGCCCATCTCCAATAGGAGCTCTACAAGCGCTTCTTCGCCTTGGCTCCCTCGGGGCAAGACTTCTTCAAGCAATCCTCTACGCGCCTGTGCCTTGGGCAGGAACAATGTTGAGGGCCCGAAGCGAGCGCATTTGCATTTTCGACACAAGCATCCCAAAACTAGAGCTTAGTGCAGTACAACAGAATAGGTTAAAGGATGTTAAAGGCATGTGATTGGAACACCTACCATGAAAGAAATTTTGGGACGGCCCCTTGCCATCCCCTGGTTCCCAGGCTTGATTGAAGCAAGAAAATAACAACAAAAAACCCTGAGACTGCTTGTTCGAAACATTTCGAAACCATATTTTGGATCATATTTTTAAATCTATTTTGCCCTGACTCAATCAATTTGAGTGGCTGCCCAGCTAAATATACTGAATTTGGCTCACAACTGTAGGTTGCCAAGTTTTCCTCAACTTCTCCTGTTACAGCTGGACTTCAAATGGGTATTGGTCAAAATTTAAGCCCTGGAGTACCACAGATTTAAGTCGATTTTTGCTATTTTCCATGCATTTCCCATGGTATTTTCACCAATGATTGGGGTGCCCAAGTTTCACCCAGTTTCACCCATACCCAAATGGCTATGGATCAATACCTATTAATACCATTTTTAGGGGAATGAACATCCATTTACCAGCTATTTTGATGTTCACCAGGGGTACAAGGTTTTGACACACTGCCAAATGAATATCCATGAGTTCCATCGAGTTCCATCCAGTTCCACTGTTTTCCAGGTACTTCCTGGCGGATCGCGTGGTGGAAATGACCGTGGAGATGTTCCGCGAGCCCCGGAAGATGGTTCAGGAGATTAGTGGCCTGGGCTTGCGCCATGTGCCTCAGCATCCCAGGGAGCAGGGAGCATCTGGGGATGAATCAAAAAATGAAGCCCCCATGAGAACCAGAGATTTTAGGATTCATGTTTAGTATGAACCATCTAATTATGGGAGTACCCGTGTTTGACCACAGGAATGTAAAAGCAATGTTTGTTTGCAGTCCAAGTACCGCTAAAATTGACACAGACCCTGAAAATAAGATAAAATAAGCCAGAGGTTATCAGAGGTTCTATGTGAATTTGCTGGAGGGTAGCATCAACATATATCAACATGCATCAACCTATACACATTTTGTGGGATGGGCTTCTCACAGGTGGGTTGGGGCATTCCACCCGAGCTCTTCGGGCCCTACACCTCCGGAGCCGTGGAGAGCGTTCGGTCCATGTGTCCTGGGCAGCAGTTTGGGAAGGGCTTTCCCTTGCTGGTACCGTAAAAATGTTGGTAAAGCAACCACAAGGAACCCCAAAAAAGACAAGCATGTAGAGAAATGTGTGGAAAATCCTACCCTCTGGTAAACTAACATATCTATTGAAAATGGCCATTTATAGTGGATTTAACCATTGAAAATGGTGATTTTCCATAGCTATGTTAGTTTACCGGAGGGTATGTGTTAGGTATGAATTACTAGGTCGTGGTCGTGGGAAAGTGCTCTTCGATTAAATAGGGTTTGTCTTTATGACCTATTTGCCAGCCAGCTACAAGGACACATTTGAATAACCCTCTGGAGTCGCACCGATTGCGAGAAGTGATTGGCATACAAGCCTGTTGCGGCCCCGTGTTCTACCGGCTGGTGATTTTTCAAACATTGAATACATGTGGAATTTCAGTCTGGACTGATGAAGATTATATATCCTAATCTACTGCAAGGGTTCCAAGAGATTGAGCGTCTTTTTTGTTTTTCATCCTCCTAAGGATGTTATATTTTGATATATATATATATTATATATATCATATTTTATATATGTTGTTCTTTTTTTCTCGGATTCATTCCAGGTGTCCAATTTTTTAAAATCAAATTTCAAACATCCATTATAACAGCTGTCTGTTGTTTGGGAAGGGTGATGTTTGCAGCCAGAAGGACCACGGACGACAACACGCAATCGGCCTTCCGCTTCTCACTGTCACTGATCGCCAAGATTCTGGCGTCTTGGCGTCTGGCCACGGGGGCCAGGGGTTGATCTAGATCAATGGATTGATTTACCCTTTGGTTATTTGACATAGCCATGGTATAGATGGCCCATTGATAGATGGTTTACCTATTAAAGATGGTGATTTTCCATGGCTATGTTAGTCATAACCAAATGGTAAAGGAAAAACCTAGAGGAAACCATGGTTCTATCCTGCCAAAAACAGGGATTTGCTGCAGATTTTTTCCCATCATCCATTTCTGGGACTAGAGGAAACATCCGGAGAAAAATCGGAAACACAGGAGAACAAGAGATGTTGAAATATCATCGACTGGTTGGTGGTTTGGAACATTTGGAACATGGCTTTTATGACTTTCCATCTATTGGGAATAGTAACCCCAACTGACGAACTCATATTTTTCAGAGGGGTTGAAACCACCAACCAGTCATTGACTTCATCATATATTTGTCGTTCATGGTTGATACATGTTGATACCATCAGAGTGGTTCGGACGATTTCCTCAGGTGCGAGCCGTTTCTGAAGGTTCGACCCTGGTGATGCGGGCCATCAACACCAATCAGGTGGGATTCGATGGGGATTTCATAAAAACCATGACATACAATGGGATATCATGGGATACAGCATGTTTTAGCGGACTTTATTTTCAGACAACCCCCAATCTAAGTTTTGCGACATGTCAATCTTTAGCACCTTAAATGAATAAGAAACTACATATTCTTGGCAGCACTATAAGTTGACCCACCTTGAGATATTCTGGGATCTAGATTTGCACATTCTTGCAGATATTTTCTTTTTCTTTTCTTAACATGTTCACTTTTGCCTATGTTTGGTTTTTCACTTGAAGCGACTCTTGTTTTTTGATTTGCACTTGAAGCGACTTCGGTTTTTTTTAATGATTTTCACTTGAAGCTACTTCTGATTACTGCTGGATATTTTTGGATTCTCAGTTTTTTTGTTGGGCTTCTGGCTTCCAATTTAGTCTCACCAGCGGCTGATGCTTGGTCTCACGTCAGGAGAGCGCCATGAAGAAAGCCATTGCCATCGCTCCGCGCGGCAAGCGCGCCATGGAGTTGTTGAACATCTCCGTAGGTCACGTGGCTCACGTGGCCGCGGCAACGAGAAATCCATTATGCGAAAAGTGGTGTAGATATTTGTAGACCATTTTCTGATGATTTGCCTAAAAAATATCTGGTTGGTGGTTTCAAACATTTTTTATTTTCCATAATATATGTGATAATCCTTCCCATTGACTAATTTTTTTCAGGATGGTTAAAACCACCAACCCGTATACATTATAATTATAATATAGAACCAGATTTGCCAAGGTACAACCAGGTAATCTTGCTGACATAAAATATCATAAAATGGGGTCGGTCGTGATCTGAGGTACGCAGTCCATCTCTCCTCTCTTTTGGTCCATTGAGAGTGGCAGCTTGAACAGTGCCAGGGCCATGATCGTGGATTTACTGACGATCCGTGCGGATCGTGACGTCTACTACTATGGTTGCGAAGCTTGGCCTGCTCAGCACGGGGTTCAGACGCCACAACTTGGTGGCTGATGGTGGCTGGAATCCGAAGGCGATCCTGTTTGAAAGGTAATTCTTGGGCTTCTGCTGGTAGTAAGTGCTTCTAGAGTGCAGTAGATCAATGGTGCCACATGCCACATCGCCATCCCAGACTTTGGGCATTGTCTCAGGATGCCATGTTCACTCGGCATCCAGACTTGATCTTGCGATTGTGCAACGATGCGTCAACACTGCTGTGGACCTTGTTCGATGGGCTCGTTTGGAGGCCTTGTCTGATGAAAGAGCGCGGAAGATATGTTTCGAACCATGTGCTGCTGTCCTCAGCCTACGTGGACTTCTATTGGCCAGGCATAAAGTAACATTGCAGGACATCTCGGTGATTCATCCCCATTAGTGGGTCAGAAAGCCCAGTTATACTTGGACTGACTAAGCAACTGACCGACTGACTAACCCCACTAAAAACCCTATATACTTACCACATCTTACAACTGCGTTTATAATCCACTTACGATTCCTGGGTGAACCACCGAAATCACATGGCTGCTTTCTCTTACTGTAACCAGGCTGTTTCTTCATGGCATGCGAAGATATGCAGCTCGGGAAACCGAGGCCATCTATATACATAGGCCTGATTGTTCACCAGTTTTTTTAATTGGGGATAGATCCAAACCCTGTAGCCCTGGTCAACATCAAAATAAACTGGTATACATGGATGTTCATCCGGAAACCAGGACTAACAAATACTAAAAAGGTATTTCTAGTTCGGAATCTTGCAGCTATTGACCCGTAGCCAAAAAGGATCCGTAAATCCAAGCAGTTCTGCCCCCCCAAAATGGGGCAGGTCTCGGCTGGTGCAAGATGGCCAACGTCGGGTGAATTACTACATCAAGCAACATGGCATGGTTCCTCAAGGGACCAACAGGAGATTTTGGCGATGCGTTTTTTTTTACGGATGTGTTTCATGCCCAAAAAGATCGTTTCCATTTCGTTTCCGGGATCCCATATATTTCTAATTATTTCTATATATTTCTGGCTGAAAGCAACTTTTATATACTGTATATATACTGTATATCTTTTGGGGGTTGCTATCAACATCATATGTGATCAAATTGTGATCTGAATCGAATACCCGATGGAAAATCATGAATCCACAGCTGGAAGGTGGGCCTTACGTCTGACTTTGCTGGTGGACCATGGCGTTTGTTGTCCGCTAGGTGTTGCCCTAGGTCGCAGGCCGGTCAGAAAACCTTGAAGAAATTGATATAACTGGTATTTGTAGAAAGCTGACGGAAGGATACGAAAGGTCTTCCGAAGGCTTTTCAGGTGCCACTGCGCTCTTCGACCTACACCTTCAGCATACCCTCTGGTAATTTATACCATGGCCATGGAACATGGCCGTTTTAGGTCCGGTCGGTTATTTTTCAATAATTAGGTCGGTCTGCCAGCAATCGGCAACCGAGGCATTTGGTGCAGGACTTGGAAGGTAACTTCAGCCCAGCCCTGAAGTGGTTGGCTCACCACAAGGACCCACGGCTGGTGAGCCATGGCGTGGTGATGACCTTTGCAGATTTGCTGTGGAACCGGGTCGCTTCCTATCAGTTCCTGGGATCGAACTAATGGCCATGCATGGCCTTAGTCATCTTAGTCCAGGTGGGTGTAGATGCATATCCACATGAGTGGAGCTATGTCAATATTCTAATACAATACCCAGATCCAATTTTCTCCAAATATCCAAGTGGAGGTATCTAAATTATATACATATCCGAAGATAGGGTGCATGCTGCATATACATATATATATATAAATAATCACACACAGATAGATAGATATATATATATATATTTAAAATATACATACACATTGTGTTGTGGACTCATAATGTAAACGTGATGGTATCCAGCGCCTTTATGGTGAGACTTGGGCTCAGGTTCTTGCTCGGTCGAGGCCGCAGACCAGGGTGGCAACAACTTCGTGGCATGTATTGACATATCTCTTGATCTAGTACTTTAACATGCCTACTTTATAACTCTTTATATTATTTTATTTATATATTATATTATATTATATACTTTATATCATCTTGATTTGAATTGCACTAATATTGTTTCTCAGTTTCAATCATCGACATTCAGCAACATTTACATGGATTTTCCTCATGTTCCCACATTTCAAACAACCTCCTGAGCCCAAGATGCCCAAGTAACCTGTAAGGTAACCCCTCAGATGCGGCAGATGCAGCAGGCTATTTCCTCTTCACTCTCCTGGTCTTCATTACCAGCCAGTCCTTCCTGGTCCCTGGGGCAGCTTGGATCACGCTGGGCTCATGCTGGGCGGGGCTTTTTTGGATCAAGCTGTGATTCAGATGGTATCTAATTATAGAATGGTTATGATAATACTGTAATAATGGTTGTTATAATGGTTATAATATGTTATGATTATAATGGTTAAAATGCGCGTAATGGTTATGATGGTTATATATATATATGATTGTAATGGTAACAATATCTATGTCTCTTCTGACTTCTTCTGAATGTCTATATTCTTAATGGTTGGGACCCTATCTAGCTGAATCTAAGTACTTTCAGCAAGAAGTGATGCAGTAACATGTTATATAAGTGCTTTTGTGAAAGTGATGGCAATCGAACCTGTAGAGTCAAGGAAACGCTGAATCGCGGAGGCTGTCGGTACTTCCAAATTTGTCAACAATTGCTTCTAACAATAACTGTGTAGAGAGATACACGAGCATGTGCTCTTGGTCGATGCATTGGTACGCACACACTCACACACACGCACACACACACATATGGTATGTATATATATACATGAGTATATGTGTATCTATATGTAGAGATGGCACACAGGCTCAGACACATTATATATAATTATATATATATATGTGTGTGTGTAGGTTGTAGATGTAGATATAGATATAAATATCATGAAGATACCCTTCTAAATTTTCGAACTCAACTCTGGCGTCTCGTATCTACCCAGGAAGAAAGGCTGTGGCGCAACATCCTGACCTTCGTTTGCCGCTGCTTTCTCTACTTGGGCCTCTTAGCGGCTATCTTCGAAATGTTAAACACATTCATATACTGTACCCAGTTCAACAATGGATGATCCACCATTGTTCAAAACGTTGCCAGTAAAGATCCACCATCTTAAAACAAATCGAGGCATGTTGCAGCCGCATGTCAAAGTCTCATTGCTAGTACTAGTCATACTAGTCTTGTTCAGCAGTCATGATCAAAGTGATGACCCTGACCCAAGGAAGCATGAGCAAGCTTCTGTTTGACCAATGCAAGCTGGCCTGTAGTGCCTTCAAGGAGAGGATAGGTGGATGGATGGATCCATCCATGGATAAATAGATAGAGGTAGTATAAAATGCACCTGGAGGGATATATACATATAGGCATATATATATACCTTAACTCCGGACCCGCAAAAAACGCAGGGTCTGAAAAATAACCAGGGTTTCCAACACAAACCCAGGGTTTGTGATTTCCTGTTTTTTCCACCGCCTGCCCGGCTGATGCAAAGTGTGGCTCTACACCACAGTCTTCCTGGGCAAATCCTTCTGCCAAGAGCTGAGGGGAACCTGGCTGAGAAAAAAAATAATCTGGTTGAAAATCTGTGCATCATATTACATAATATTACATATACATATCATATAATCATATACATCAACATCCTGGTGCGGCCATGGTGTCCCATTAGCTGCTAGCAGCAACCAGGTATCCGCTTTCCATGAACTTGGAATATGCACTTTGAAGATATCTGTCTACCACTCGCTGCGCACATTGTACAGAACTGACGTGGCGGCTTAATCTGCTGCCACGTCCTATGAAATCTTCATCTTGTTGCACGCTTGTGCAAAGTGGGTTCAAGCAGAACCCTCTCTGAGAGTCCTGCACCAAGCTCAAGACAATGTGGTGTAAGCTGTGTGCCTTTGGCATTACCAGCCAAAACCTTTTCCCCTGCCGATTGGCCATGATTGCAAGTTTGCTGTACCTCCGAAGAAAGCGGAGTCCAAGTTCGCCGATCTGACGGGCATCAGTGGGCGAAAGCCAGGCCGGACCAGAATACATCATACGGATGCATTCATTGATGGATTGAGCAGCTTCTCCAGCTATGCGCAGTGTTTCATCTTGCCACTGCTCCGAAACAAACTTTGCTTCAATCCACGCCATGAGGGATGTTGACAAATCCCCCTTATGCCAGCTTCCCGATGGAAATTGCGTCGTTGAGACCCAATTCAGCAATTCTTTCGTTATCCGTTGGCAATGCGCTTGTCGTCCTGTCTGTTTGCAAAACGAAAGGTACTGCGTGCTCAAAGATTCAAATCTGGCATCAACTGTGGCATCGTTTTCCCAAGAACTGAGCACGGCCAGGATGGAACTCAAGTAGTGTTTTGCAACTCCCAGATGCCACGTGTGGAAAAAGTCAAAGTGCCAAAATGCTGCAAGCTTGCCTGGGCAATGGTCCAAAATCTCGAAAGGGCTGCGGGTCAAGAAGGGGCATTGTGAGAAAACAGACCCTAGCCATGTTGGCTGGCGTGACCCAATCTGTTCGAATGGAAAGGGCGGCTGTCCAGCGCAGCAAAGGTGGCATATGCCACCGCATTCCCGCCCTTGCCGCCCGCCACCATCACCAGCACCTCCAGCATCTCCATTTGCCGTCCGATGTTTTTGGACATTCATGAAGCTGCGGCCAAGGTTGCCGCTTTTGCAAAGCCATGGCCAATCACCCACGACTCCCAAGCAAACAGCGTGGTATTGCTCTCCGCCATGTTGGACCCCGGTGTTGGCCATGAAGTCGAGCTCCTCCGCCACTGCCTTCAACAGCACATCCATCACATAGGCATTCTTCCCAGAGTATGCAGATTTTGGAAGCGCGGATACCAGGAAGCGGTTGCAGTAGGAGTGTCCCACAAAATTTGGGAGCATTTTGATGTAGGCTCGCCGATCATGCAGCGGCTTTTGCAGGCCTGGCAGAATTCCACGCCCCAAAGGGCTGTGCAGATTCAAAATCAGGAAAGCTGTCCGCCGCTTTGAGCGGCCTTCATCTCCATGAAGATATAGCGGGACAACCTTTCCCAAGGTCACTTCTCCACGAGCGGCACGGGCATAGATTGGATGATCCGGGTGTTGACATCGAAATCTTTCCCAAAAGGCCTCCAAGATTGCAAACTGTCGCCGGGCATCAGCCTTAACAAGCCCGCACAAAATGTGCAAGCAGTTCTGTTGCAACAAAAAAGTCATCCATTCTCTGAAACTTATGATGGGCAGCTGCAAGGCAGGATCTTTGACGTCCAAAATGCTTTTGGACACTGGCAGCGAAAGACGGTACCGCTTGGCCATTAACCTATGGCAGTCCCGCTCGCCATTGCTTGGCCTCTTTCTAGAAAGTTCCACCAACCCTTCTGATTTCTTTGCTGCCTCTTCACCCACATCAGCTACGACGTCCCGGGCCGTTCGGATCACTCCGGCACAAGAGGCCTCAGCGCACGCAGAAACTGGAGTTGCCACCCCCCAAATTACCAGGATGAGACAAGGGTGCTCACATGGCGCCTAAAAGATAATCCAGTTTCACCATGGGTAATTATATATGCATGCTTGCCAATGCTTGCAGCGTACTCACAGTTTGCATCTTGGGTGCCCTGTTAACATAAAGAATGCGTTGCAGAATGGACGCAGTCCCTTTTTTCCCATGGCCGCACCAGGTGTTAAAGTTGTTTCCATATATGGTACATGGAACAGACGCATGTAGGTTTAAGTCTTGGCATTCCTAGGCTGAAACTTAGGCATTGCAAAGGACACAGCTCTAACAGGCGGCGGCGTTTTGAAGGATCGCCAGACAACGTATGTTGTGTACCTGCTGTTGTCATCATCCAACAATGGCTGGACACTGTCTCCACCAGCTCTAACGTTTTTACATCCTTGTCTACCTAAGCTGTCAGGTTGCCAAACAACAAACAAATGATTGCTGTTTAGGGGTATTTAAAAAAACACAAAAAATATGAACAATTGTTTTCTGCGGAATGGGTGCTCTTAAATTTTTCGACCAAGGCAGCCTCGAGCATAGCGGGGCTATAGGGTTCTTTGCAGTAAAACAGGATGTCCATGTTGGACCACTTTTCTCTGGCATGTTGGTAGCCATAAACATCGTTGGTCCATCTCCACAAGGGGTTGTGGGAAAACCCGATCTTAAAAATCAGCGGTTCTTGTTCTACAAATAGTCGCTCCAAAGTTCGAATAGCATGTTGAAGTATCGCACCAGCTGTACTTGCAGAATTGAGGTCACCCATTTTCATTTCGATGCACCCCACCGTCCGACACTCAATCAGAAACTGTTGAAAACGGGGCGATGGTGGCAAACTTGCACTAGTTCTTCGTTTCGCATCAAAAGCCAGCGGTTCCATTGTTGTGATGCATTCCCTTTTCTTGTCACTGGACGCACTGGTTGGCTTACCGGCCGTTGAAGGTTGTGAACCAGTTGGGCGTTTATCCCAAGGGAATGGAAATTCAGCAGCCTTACTGCGAAGGAATCAGAAAGAAAAAACAGGTAATGGAGGTATCACAATAACAAACCACCCCATCAACTACCCATGGTTCACCATCCCCAGTACATGTACATCCAATAGTAAACCCATATTGAGGGGTGGTTTGTTATTGTGATGCCCACATCAATGATGAGAATGAAATCATGACATATATAATAATTGTTTCCTTGATCATATTTATCGAACACTGGTCACATCATAACCCATCACTTACACCTGGAACACGTTCAAGTATGCCCCAAAAGTTTGAAAATGGGGAAGTTGTGTCAAAGGTTTCCTAAACCAGGTCAAAAAGCTGAACGATGGCATGTCAAGAGGTCCCTTAATTCATCTTCAGGGGTCTCGCCATGATCATTGGGATCACTACTCATGCGTGTATGTGCAGAAAACTTTGAGCAATCACACGGCAATGTTGAGATTCACAACCATCACAGGCAGTGTTGGGATAACCCAAGGTTCCCCTACAAATCTGCTCTCGGTTGGTGATTCATGGCACGTCTGAGGCCATGGCTCCCTCACCGATGGATGCACTCATTCCACGAAGAGTTCGGCCAGCTCGTTTGCCACCTGGCTGGAAGTGGATGCGGATACCGTCCATCACGTGGTTTCTGATTGTGCGGCTTAAGGGTACTGGAGGTTAAAATGCTGGATGCCCATCATCTGGTTTTTCACTGCTAGATTTGAAGATACTGGCGGTTCAATCCCTGGATGTTTGAAGCCACATGTAACTGATTATGCTGATGACAATGAACATGATCATGGTGATGACGATGACGATGAAGAAGAAAAAGAAAAGAAACAGATAATGGTAAACATGATGGGGATGGTGATGATTGAAGATAATGGTGGGGACGATGGGGATGATGATGATTGATGATGAGGATGGGTGATGAGGTTGAGGTTGTTGATGATGAGGATATAAATGAGAAAAATGAAGTTGAGGATGATGAGGTTGAAGATGGTGATGGTGATGATGATGATGGGGATAATGAGGATGATAAAGGATGAGAAAGGTGATGATGAAGATGATGATGAAAATGATGATGATGGTGATGATGATGATGATGATGATGATGTGAATGATGAGGGTGAGGAGGAGAAGGATGATGATGATAAGGCTGATGGGGATGGTGAGGTTGAGATGGGGATGGTGATGGATGGTGAGGATGATTGGTGATGAGGTTGAGGATGATGAGGTTGACGATGGTGATGATGACGATGATGATGATGATGGTGATGGGGATGATGAGGATGAGAAAGGATGCGAAAGGTGATGATGAAAATGATGATGATGATGGTGATGATGATGATGATGTGAATGATGAGGGTGAGGAGGAGAAGGATGATGATGATAAGGCTGATGGGGATGGTGAGGTTGAGATGGGGATGGTGATGGATGGTGAGGATGATTGGTGATGAGGTTGAGGATGATGAGGTTGACGGCGGTGATGATGATGATGATGGTGATGGGAATAATGAGGATGAGAAAGGATCAGAAAGGTGATGATGAAAATGCTGATGATAAAGATGATGATGATGATGGTGGTGGTGATGATGACGATGATGAGGATGACGACCGTGTTCATGATGATGATGAGGATGAAAAAGGAACATATGATAAGCCACGATGTAAATCAAAGCACTTCAAGTGCACAGCCCTGTTCGCCAGCTTCATTTTTTTTCGGTAGCAGCCCCAAGTATGACGATGCATGGACAGCCTCGATGCTTAACCATGACTTGTTCGCACAACCGCACTACGCACACACACAGCTTTGCAAGAAACAAACACTGATCGGGCTTGAACTTTATTTGGGACTAGGACGGATGAAGCACAACTTTAATATCCATATACTTGACATTGAACCGTTCAAGCTGCAAAGCGCTATGTGTGAACATGGGTGTTCCAGGTCATAACCCCCTACACATCCACATGAGATCCTACTTGTTCTTGTCCTTTTTAGCCTTCTTAGACGATTTGTCTTTCTTGTCTTTCTTGGCTGGAATCATGGGCTCGGCAGTCTCGTCAGCGTCCTTCTTCTTGTCATAGAAACGCTTTGCGTTCCTGTCGATGCTGGTTGTGATCTTGACGGAAAATTGTGGGTTCGAGATTCATTATATATTATGTCATTATGATTGATGATCAAAATACATAACATATCATAATTTATCCATGTATCATGCGGTTCCACGGTTGACCATGAGAACCAAATCAGCCCGCAAAGAAATTACATACCTTACCCTGAGACGTCCTTATCTTGGTCTCGAATGCCGTGGCCTTTGCATTCCTCAAACAAAAACATTTTGAAAAAACAGCCGGTTGACAAAACAAACCGGACCCAGAGTTGATAGCTGAGTGATGAACGCGAATGTCCCGTCTTTCATGCACTGCTCGGCGAGCTTGTACCACCTAAGCTTGAGGGATGGAATATGCCACCATGATGGGTTAAAAACACCAGGCATTATTTTTGTTCGTTGATTGGTTTTTTCAACATTTGATCCAGGGGACTCTTCGGTGGAAAAGTTCTCCACTTCACCTTTAGCCCACGCATCATTACAAGCATCATAGTGCTTGTCCATGTCGGCGATGTGGCTCTCCAAGGTCTTGATGGACCTGAGATGTCTTCGAAGCATTTTGAGGCCATGTTGAGAACAGGATGGGTGGTGTTTGGTGGTGTGAAAGGGTCTTCAAAAAATGGTAGCGCACAACATATATTCTAGCATCATGTCGTTAAGGAACGTTGACGTGGCTGATTCAGTGTAGCCCTTCTTCAGATCTCGCACCAAAAGCCGCAGCTTCCCAGCTTTAGACAAAGACGATGACATAAAAGTCTTCAAAGAAGCTTTGGTCTCACACAGGGCTATTCGATGAATATCACACCATGTCATGCTCAATAAAAGGTGGAGGAGATGCAATCAATGAGATTCTGTGAGCACTAAAATCTCTCCTGCAAGTACTTGTTCATCAACCCTTGTTGGTCTGGCTTTTTGGTCTGGATATCCGTTTCCCGCTTTGCCCGGGCATCAAGTCCAGCAAAATCATCTCCAAGTTCGTTGACTGGGTCATGCTCAGCCTGCATGGGGGCCACAAGATATTGATGGTAAAAACTCACGAGTCAAAAACATTTAGGCCATCAGTATTAATGTTTGGTATTTTTCGACCAAAGCCAACAGGTTTTGGCAACCGGTATCACGCCTTCATTCGTTTTGACTGTTCATGTTCATATGAAGATTCTTCAGTCCGTTTGGCAGTTTCTCGGACAACAACGAAGAATTCCATTTCTCCGTCATAGGCGTTTCGCCTGGCAGAGCGGGCTGAAAAGTTGTTTGTCCAAATAGGTACTTGCATTGCAACACATCAATTGGTGACCAGCCTTGCATGACTTTCACCCAATGCAAGGCAATGGGATTTAGCACCGGCGATTTTCGCCCTCAATTCCAGGATTCTGAAATCATAACACCACTTGGTTGAAAATGACAGCCAGGAAACACAACAATTTGAAACTACTGAGATCATCACCCACTCCATCCCAACTCTTTGAGGTCAGATTCGCTGTGCCAACCCTCATCGATGACAACTTGGTAAGACTTCTTCTTCTTCACAATGATCAGGATTTGATTGAAGAACTCCTCCTACATTCCATTATGGGGCTAAAGCTGGTAAAGTGCGAAGCCTGTGCAATGTCAAATATCATCGCTGTTACCATCGATTGATTGAAGTAAGAAAAATAGATATCATGCATTACCACATCCAAATTCAAAATTGTTGATCATCAATGGTACCGATATATCACAGTATCCTCCCCATAACTTTTCACTCACCCAATCCTTACTGAAGTTGCACCGTAGCAGGAGGTCTGCCATTCCGTTCTTATCACCCTCAGTCCATTCCTTTGCAACGTATTCAGGCACAGCAAGATCCTTTCGCTTGGTCTTCGGTGCCACCATGCGATCAATTCGTGCTTTGGCAGCACGCCGGAGATTGAACTGCAGGGCTGGACGGTAAACGTGGGGGTGTGCATGACAGTGGGCCACATACAGCAAACCCCACATTGATGATCTATGGAATTAATATGAACAACATAGTATGTTGAACGTTTTGATCCAAATCCAGGGTGAACAACGTACATGTTTCGAACCAAACCTGGCGTAGCGTCATCCCTTTGGGCTTGTACGGAGGCTTGGCACTACCACCACGTGGGTTCCCACCAACTGAGCATTCTGGTTTGGCAGGAACACCTGGTTCAGTTGAAGAAGTAGTAGCACCAGTCTTCGGCGTAGAACCAACTTGGGGTGTTTCCACCGGGGATGCCTCGCAAACATTCAGTTGATATGTTTCCGGCATAAACTCATCGATTATACAGAAATTCAATCAATATAAATCAGATAGCAGTCGGCTACGATATCCTTTTTGGAAAGGGCAAAGATCTAGCAGCACCCCGGAATATACTTTTGATGGCTACATCAAACCCTTCATGGGTATAAATTATGGAATAATTGTACCAGGTTAATTGAATTAAATGCCAACTAAGCACTTGCACCATAGGAGTTTCTGGCTCCTCCGAAGCCAAAGGTGTCACAGCTTCTCGAAGTTGAGAGTCCGTCGCCTGAATGGAGAAGGCCAATGGACCAAGTCTCATGGTCCATCATGGGAACATAGGAGCCATGTCTATATAGCAATATTTCCAAACAAAGCTACTCTCAAGATGTCGCATGAATCTATAGGTATGAGATATTAACACAATCTATGATGTCAATATACTGGGCGATGACATGTACTTGAACTGAAACTCTGAGAAGCGCACTGGCAAGGTTTCCACGTCCTCTGGGTCAAGATCACTGGCCTCAGGAGATTGCTAGGGGAATGGCTGACCCTGGTGAGGTTGATTGGGGCTAGGACTGGATTTCCAGGACATTCACCGAGAGATGTCACTTCAGACAGTTGTCCATCGATCTCCTGGAGGGACAAGAGAAAACATATCATGGTTTACCTACATTTTTGAATCTTTAAGAATTTTAGGATATACAAAGTATACCATTCAAACAAAAACCTGAAAGAAAACCATAACACCAGGGGGATGAAAAGATATCTACTGATCCTTTCTTTTACTAACATGGTCACTACCAGGTTCATCAACACCACCTTGATTTTTGATACGGTGATGGAGCCGGACCATAAGTACCAGCACAGCCATGATATTTGAACAACCTTTCTGGGGTCCTGTAATTCTGCAAGAAGCTGGGCTTCTTCATCTTGCAGACGTGTCAAGTCAGCACCCACCATGTCAAGACCGTCCCCTAGAGTCGTGCAACTCCAAAGGTTGGAAACTTGTCCACCGGCCATGACCAGCGATGTGCCCATGTCAGGGTCCCCAAAATGGCTACCACACATCAAAATTTCCAACATGTTTCTCAAATGTTCGTGTGGCTATCAAATTAGACCATGCACAGATGAACATTCCCAAAATGGTATGATGTTTTCAGCAGCTGGCGATGGTTTCATTTTTTTCTGTCCCCACTTGATGGTCGCAGTCCCAAAAAAGACGCGATAATTTCGAAATGGTGCATCGCTTTCGAATTGCACTGCCTCGGGTACCCCAAACCGAGATCAGAATAGTCAAAAAAACGTGAACAAAAGGTAACTATTTTGTATGGATTCGAAGCCCCCAAACCCATGAAAAAATCACGGGTAATCACGGGTAAATCACGGGTCTGTCACGGGTTCGTCACGGGTTGACCAAACACGAGGTTCTCATAACAAACACGGGGTATGATTGAATAATCACGGGTTAACACCTATGAAGCACGGGTTTGTCATGGGTAAATCACGGGTATGTCATGGTTTGCTAGAATTCCGAATGTTGAAAATGTTTTTTCCCATATTTTTCCATGTTGTGGTGATAATTTGGTTGAAAAACATGTGAGTGGCCACATGATGGATATCATTCTTCGAGGATATTGACGCAATTTCTCCAAAAAAATGAATGATGATGTACCTTTATCGATCCATAACGTTGCAAATCTTGAACAGAACTCCGCATTGCCATGAACACATGTGCATGACTAGGAGTTGGACTTACCCGAGGCGATCAGGAATGATTCCCCTCCAATGCGAAGGGATCTTGAGATTACGGTTTCCCCGTAAGTACTGGAAGGTTTCCCCAAAATCCACGAATTGCCATTCATCACGTGGAACCTCTGGCCAACTGCTGAAGCTCTTCACTGCCTCCGGCACCTCTGCTGGCAGCAAAGGAGTTCCCACACACGTTGACTTCATCTCCGGTAGCAAATCGACGAGGCACCGGGCAAAGGGCATAGGATATATCCTTGGGTTCAACGGTGTCTTTAATAAATCCAGTAACCTTTATATCATCTTATATCCACATATATCCAAAATGGTGGGAGCTAAAGTAGAACTACTGGTCATGTTAAAGTTGAAAATATGAGCGCACCAGTGAAACTGAATGGAACCAACATATCTGATATGAACAAAGAATTAAATATCAGAGTAACTCACATAGTGACAAAGTATGAAACATCATAAAGCATGATCAAGATTCTCACTTTTCCGCAAGTTGGTATTTCCTTTCCATCGCTTGACACCCTTTTTATCATAGTAGACATCAGCTGTCTTGATCTTGGTATGCTGTGAGTTCACTTTCTGCTGATTCCTGAGTAGCCGTCCTCTGTTTAACTTCAAGATGGCAGGCGTGTTGGCGAAGCCATAGTGTCTCTTAGGTGTAGGCCCAGAGTAGTGTTGCATATACCATTTGACTTTGCTTACCTTGGCAATTTGCTGGGCATCTAGGAGCGGATCATTATCAAATTCCCAACTCTTGTGGCAAACTACTACTTTGGGTTATAGACAATGATAAACCTGAGCATACACCAATCACCATTAATCATCCCATGTGGTGGATATCCAGTCATCAATATAGATTAGCGGTGGTTAAATATATAGCGATACCCCATGATACCACTTGTTTTCCCTGCGCATTCATGACCACAAACCAAAACAATTCATCTGTTTTGATCATACAGTTAATTTCGCTAGGGCGCAGCAAGTTGGCCACCAATGGCAAAAATGTTCATCATCAAAGTCCTCCAAGTCGGGTAGAATTCCAACACGGATCCATCCGGCTGTTCCACCGTCCATGCGCCTCCCAAGGCGGTCGTCAAGTAGATGAGGCAGCAAACCCTGGAGGACGGGAAGTGGCAGTTGGAAACTTTCTCAGTGGGTATCCCTCTGGAGGAAGGTTTAAACTTTTTTTGGTTTCGGGTTCGCGCGTCTTAACTAGGCTATTTTTAAGGGTCAAAAGGCGCACGAACCCAAAAACTTTCTCAGTGGGTATCCCTCTGGAAGAAGATTTAAACTTTTTTGGGTCTCGGGTTCGCGCGCCTTAACTAGGCTATTTTTAAGGGTCAAAAGGCGCGGGAACCCAAGAGAAAAAAGTCTAAAGTTCAGACACTGGCTGGGCAAGGAAAGAAATCCTAATGAAGTATCCATATTAACCATCATGATGAATAATGATCATCATTTTGAAAAATGATGCTTATCCTTCATATTGATGATGATGCTTATGTTCAAAAATGACCATTAGTAGTTTACAATCATGATCATAAATGGTTCATAAGCATCATCAGTTTCATCATGGTGATCCTGAGTCAAAACCAAGATGGTGATCATTACTCATCATAGTGATCGGTGTTTATCATGATGACCATTATTCATCCTGGTGATGACGATTCATAATAGTGATCATTGATAATCATGATGATCGCTACCTATGAAAATTATCATGACTTATCATTATCATTTGTCATGTTCAAGATGGTGATGATTATTGATAATGTCGAGATATAACCCTAATGAATGACCATTATTCATAGTGATTAGTTTCGTGACCCACATGGATATACATCTATCATGATGCAGAGGCTTCAAAACACAGTTGTGCAGGTATGATCATATGTGTATGCACATTTATTTACGTTTTGATCCTATGACTCAGTGCAAATTTGTCTTTGATCAAAATGGTAACTGGGCATGGGCGCCATCCCCACATGGTAACTATAAATGGCCAACATAGATGGATCATATGATTGATATAAACCGTGAAATATTCTATATATACTTGAAGTTTTTTGGTTTTCATATATATATAATATATATAGGCTAGAAGGCATTACAGGGTATTGATCCATCCCGCTCCTCTCCAGAAGTTTGTTGCTTGTAGACACTGATGGGTAATCCGTAAAGCCAGTGCTAGAAGCTGGTGATCTCTTTGATGTTCCTTGATTCGTGGTACACAATGATGAACATTTGATTGCGAAGTGGGCCGAGAAGTCACGGACACGAGCTCGAAGCAAGCAAGTCACTGCTAGCCTAAGCAGGCAGCTGCAAGGGGTAGAAAAAGATACATAATGTGGAGAAAAAACATGCTGCCTTTTTCTCATAGGAGATGATTGGTCCCAAATCGAAATCGATCATCCATAGTAATCCAACCATATGTTGATATCTTGTATACATGAATATATTCAAAGCTTTTGCTAATAGAACTAAAGTTGAAACTCATCTAGTTTGTTAACTGCATGATGTTCAAATTGGAACAGAATCCGGAAAATTGCTCAAAGTTGATAACTCATCCAATTTGTTACATTGGTGATATTCATGTTGGGATATTTTGGGCATAAGCAGTCTCATGTTTCCTTTAGTCAAGGGACGCAAATCCTGAGCTGCTATTCAAGTCCATAAAGTTGGATTTCCTATCATGGGGCTTGTTGTTGTCCAGGATATCAAAGCGCAATGCCTTGTAGCCACAGGCCCGTGCCTGTGTGGTGATGTTCCCCACGCCAGCAAAAAATTCAAAGTAGTCCAGGGAAGCCTGGAGCAAGGCAGAGCAGGGGTTTTATCTTAACATATATGAGTTATAAAGAACCCAACCAATTACCTCTGGAGATCTTTAGGCTAACGAAATGGAACATCAATTAGAATTTATTGGGCATGCACGCCAACATTTTTTTTTATTCAACCGATCAGCATGACGCCTCCTGGATTGGGAAAGTCCACATCACCAACAGGATAATTGCCACGAAGTCCTGACAAGTGGGATGAAGATTGACTTCATGGACCCGATGCTTGAATCAAACTATGAACCCCATAGTAAACAAATCATGAGACATGTAAGATGTACCTAAAAGGAATCAAGACAACCCATTGGCTATTTGCAAGGATCGGATTCAGAGATTTCCAGCCAGCTTCACAAACCAAAGAACACAGCGTACTAAAGATTCTGTTTGGTCACTTCTATCGACTGACATGTGATTTGATTTGCCCAAAAAGGATTCTATCACACGTTTTGCCATAAAGGGATATCCATGTATATTGTTTTAATTTTTTAATTGGGAATTCAGCTAACCACCTCCCCGTCAAAGTCCTGTGGGCAGCAAAGTTCCCGCAGTGACCAGACCAGCGCATCAGCGTCCATGGTGACAGCAGGATGTTTGAATGAAAGGGTATTTCCAATATGACCATGGTTGGCGAATTTCTTCGATATATCATCTTGAGGTATCTTAAGTTGGTTGATCCTACTGGTCAATAACTGATGATCACAGATTTCTAAAATCACACCGTCATTAAGATTTTCCAAACCAACCATTAGTTTCTTAACCATGTTCATGGTAGTTCCTGATGGTTCATGCCGTGATCGCTGTACACATGTCCACCTTCGAAATGGCTCTGATAATTGAAAGTTTTTGGAGCACATGGGACCATGAATCCCCACGATACAATTTAAAACCAATTGGTGGTTGACTTTGTGGGTGATGCTATACCGCTCCCGGTTCCAAACATGCTGGGGCGTACCTTTCTTGCATGACCGGGACTGCCAAAGGTCTCGTCGATGACGCCCTTTCATTCTTCGGACCTGAGGACCGGCCATGGTGCAGATTTGTAAATGGGGGTGATGGTTTTAGTTTGAAGCTACATGGGAGGTAAGAGACAACGGGTGAATGATGATGGTTCAACATTGATTGAACGATGATGGCTTTTGGCATGTCAAATAAACCAAGAGCGAGGCTTGACCCCCAGCATGCGTCAAACATTTTTCTTGACGCACCCCACCACGTGATGCACACTAAAGGGCCGTGGAAGTCAGCTTCAGTGACACACGACACACAGCGGAAGGAAGCAAACATATTCTTCAAACAAACCATGAGGTTGAAAAGCTAAGTCGAATTAATTCGAATTATATTTTGAACATTCACCATACTTTCCAAATAGTCACTGGCTGGGCAAATCCACTCATGAACACTTTGCGTTGTCACGAGGCCAAGATTGAGACTTCACTAAATGTAAGCCTGCAGGGACCCCCAAATATTTGAAGATATTGAGTAATCATGACATGAAACACCGATGAAAAATATAGACCATGAAAACATGTAAACATACATGAGAGTTCAGCCTTTGTTTGAAAACATGTGTATCAGCTTTCGAGTTATATAGCGGAAATTAATTATAGAAGACTATGACCCATCAAATTTAAATAAATATCATGTTCAGGAAGTCCCAGCCAAAGGCACAAACAGCACTTCTGCTCTTGCACTGCAAACCCCCCGGTGGCCAAGTTGTTTGCAACTTGGGAACCAACCCCCTAAAATTGTTCAGCATCGCCAGTTGTGCAACATCACAACAAACTAACAGAAATCCATAGAAACAATCAGCGTTTGGTGGATTTGACCACACGCTGCACAGCCTTCATTGATGACTGTTTCAATGTTTCTTTCATGGTTGGAAAATCACCATGTTCACTCACCCGGTCATCCTTTGAGCGTGACTTGTTGGTAATGTCCTCGATGTAGTTCACCTGAGCCGGCGGGGGTGCCAATAAGAGACTATGACTAGATTTTTATCTTCAAACCATAGTGTCAATAAAGTAAGCAACATATCACAGTTGTGAAACCCCATCTATGTGTGAACATGAGCGAAGTGATTCAAAATCTCAATGTTTTTCTGATGTCAAGTGGCCATCAATTGAGCTGCTTTCATGGAAGCAACAAGTCGATGAAGGTATGGTCCATGTTCACTTTGCACGGAGAAGCAACCCCCATCCATCCCTTCAGACTTGAGGTAGAAACCACAGGCTGGGCGGTTCCAGTACGGGGTGTAACGACACTCATCCGTGTTGGGAAAAGGTTCTCTCAGGCGATCTTTGGTTTGCTTTGTCAGATCCTCAAACTTCTTGACCCGAATGCCCAATGCAAGAACATCCTTGATATGTTGGGCGATGGCTTTGACCTGTTCCTTTTGGTTTGTGTGACAAGTCTCCTCCTCACTCTCAACACTTGAATCATCCGCCTTTTCCTCCAAGACTTCAATATGTTTTTTCTTCGTGTTTTTTTTCTTGGGTGCCTTTTCAACCTTCTTTGCCTTTCCCTCCCCTGAACATCCGTCACCTTCAGCAGCGACCAGTGAGTGCAAGGATACCTGCCCATCCAAGTGCGCATAGTGATCAAAAGCCTGAGACGATTGGCCCCAGCTTTCCTGACCCCACACTTCCTCCTCCTGCCATTCCTTGTCCCACATAGCCTTGCACCTAGCCCACTCCTCAGAGACATCATCGGTCCAAAAGGTCTGCGGTGTGGCGATTTTTCTTTTCTTTTCGGGAACCTCAACCTCTGGGTCATCATGATCACTCCGTTTGGTTGCTGTTGAACCTCGACCCCTACCACGGCCTTTGCCTTTTCCTCGCTTAGCTGGCTGTAGATTGAGCTGCTCCTGCCTTTTGACAAAGTCATCATCGGCCTCGCCAATTGAAACCACCCAGGACATATAGCAACTTGAGAAGTAAGAGAAACACATTGGTTGAAGCAGTGCGGTGAAAGTACGAAACATGTAGAAAACATTTCGGTGGGAGTTGGATTGATAGCTTTGGAATCTCCATTGTAGACTTTCAAGACTCCGACCCACCTACCCACCCCCTGCCTCATCCTCAGTGAAATCATCCGGTGTCTTCTCCTTCTCGACGCTGCCCTTCTTGGAGTCCAACTCTCCTTTAGCTGGGCTAGGTGTGGCACCCAATTCCAAGGTCTCCTCACCCTTTCCCTTCCCCTTCTTGATGCTTTGAAATTGCGCACGCTTGTCAGTAGCTGATGAAAAGGGTGACTCAACGGTTGGAACTGGAGGCGATGCTGGAACAGGGGCTTCAAAAATATCAGCCAGAGGCAGTGTCTCCACCATGTCGGTACATGGCCCGTTAACTCCTGCCAGGGGCTATTATTAGAC